TTGGGCAACCGCCGTCGTCCACTGGAGCAAGTAGTTCACCTCCATAGATTACGTTGGTTAGGACATGCGTTACGTACGTCATCGAATGGGTTGCCAAGGCGAGCGATTTTCGCCGAGGCAGGTAGTGGGTGGAAAAAAGCCCAGGGTGATCAAGCTAAGACCTACTTTTGAAACGTTTCGACGATTGTGTTTCTTTATTTCCCGCTTGTGTTCTTTAAAAACTACACTCGAGTTGTTTATTATTGTGTTGTTACTGGAAACAGCCCAATCCTCGCGCGAGGATAGTGGCATCGATTTACTTCTAGGTGGCAGGCTGTCTGACCTAGATTATGCGGACAATGTGCTGCTAAGTGAAGATCCAGGTAAGTTACAAGATTTTCTGGAAATTTTAAGTGCGTGTAGCGATGTTCAGTATGTGTTTTGCACCTTCAAAGTGTAAAATGCTACTACAAAACTGGGTTGGTCCAGCACCCAACCTCACTCTAACTGGAGAAGTAATAGAGCGGGTGAATAAGTTTTGTTGTCTGGGCAGCTACATCTCACCCGGTGGACGCGTCATGGATGAAGTGTCAGCTCGCATACAGATGGCTCGGTTGGCATTTGCCAACTTGAGACATCTGTGTCACCGTCGCAGCATTGTACGAATCTGGTGGGGCAGCCGGACGAGCAATTCTGAGGTCAGGCGCAAAGTTTTAGGCAACCGCGGTAGTCCACTGGAGCAAGTGATCGACCTCCATAGATTGCGTTGGTTGGGGCGTGTTGCCATGTCACCAAATAGGTTGCCGAGGCAGGTAGTGGGAGAAATAAACCCCAGGACAGTCAAGCTAAGACCTGGTATGAAGGTATGAAACCCCAACCAGGAGTCTGGGTCACATAGGTCCCGTTAGGCATCCTGGCTGGGGACCTCTGGATGATCGTAACCGATGGTTAGAGACACTGAGTGATATGGCTGGGTGTCTTAAACATTGGCGTTTGTGCAATTTCTCTGCTTCATTAGTCCACTGAACTTCTCAATTTTCTCTTCGATCCTACTTTCAACCTTCCTGTTTTCCTCCTATTGTTCACCTAATTGGGCAACCAAAAGCGTCGCACGGAAATGCATGCTTAATGGTCGCTTAAACTGAAAACTAAGCACTTCCGACCACTCCTGGTTGCGATGGTCCCATGGAAGCTATGTGAGGTGTGATGGTATTGCTCCTTTCCGTAGAGTTAGTTGTTTTTTTCGACTTAGGCAATGTGTTCATCCATTATGCCTTAGAGCGGAAATGCAATGCAGCAATTATTCGTGGCTATTGATATTGTCGACGAACTATGCATTATGATGTGCATATTTTTCCGAAACTGTGGTGCTTATTCGTTCCCATTTGATCTGTTCCCACTGGGTTCAGTTGGTAGTGCAATGAAATAACAAATGATCACGTTCAGTCACAGGTGATGAACAGAGCTAGGTGTAGTTTAATGCTTCATCGAGTCGTGATTTGAACGAATCGATGGTTGGAGCACAAACGACTTGAGGTGGAAGAGAGTTCTAGGTATGTTTGTCGATTGTGAAAGGTTCAGTAGCCTCGTTGAGATTCGAACCCACGCATGGACGCCGCCTACGCTTTGTATGCGCACGCTCTACCAGCTGAGCTATGAGACCACACCGATATCACTGATCTTTTCACATTCGAATTTATCCATCCAACTTCCAGAGGCATATGGCATCCACCGGTTAGGATGTAAGCTGGCTGTCCCTTAGAATTCGCCGGAGTCCACCGAATGAGCTTCTAAGACAATCGAGATACAAACTTCAAATCTGCCAAACAACAGTTTAAACAGTCCCAGGTATGACATACTCGGAAGCTGAAAGAGTAACATCAGCAGTTCAGCCTACTCTTTTGGAGCGAAAATTTAAAGGGATATTCCTTAAGGTGATCCCTCATGGATGGAGTTTTACCAGAGTATTAGACGAAAGGTTAGTTTGTTATGGTATTTGATATACAAGGACCATGCCTCCTTGTATTCGGCGGTATTCAGATGAATAGAGTCTGAGGATATACAGCCTTTCATCGTAGGCTTTAGATTGTAACCCTTTGGCCATTTCGGTTGCTACGACCATTCAAGTGCCTTTTTAGTCACGAATTAGCCATGGATTCCAAACGCGGTCGGTATACTCGGTTTATGCCCTGATGTATGCTGAGAGTAGTCGTCGCAACANCCAAAAACACGTTTCAGTAATCGTTTAGGACTATTGAAGACGCTCTAATACAATGTGTGGAACATCTTAGATCCTCACGAACAATAACTCCCAAATCCTTGTTTGAAGCTCGCGGAAATGTCTGATTTCCAAGTACGTACGGAACACGACCGTTGTGAAGCAGTGATACAGCCTTACATTTCATAAGGGGAATTAATCGTGTATTGAGCAAATGAAGAATAAAATGAAAAGCTGCGAAGCACTGTACAGTTGTTTCCACCTGGTTGGGTCTCATCAGTAGTGCGAACCCATCGACAAAACTGGGGATCAAACCCGGGACCTCACAGACAACTCAAGCTTGCTACCCACTCGGCCGCCGGGTAGCTGAT